GTTGGTATAAAAATCTCCAGTTTACTGCTCCTCACTCCCCTCAAAAAAATAACAGAGAAGCAATATGCCAAGTTCTTTATTGGTTTCATTTCTTGCATTTGAAATACTCTTCAATGACATCCTTGGCCCGGGGTTCTTTGCCATAGTCCTTAACAACTACACAACTGCAGCCAACTACATTGAGGGGCTTTCCTTCTCAGTCAGTTTTGCAGGGGCCTAGCCTCTGCCCCCCCTGCCCCCGGTTTTTTATTATCATCAACCTTTGTCAGGTTGACGTGGTGTTCAGCACAAAGGGCCTCCACCACTAACTTGACATACGTGGGCTCATTACAGTTGGATGCCAGCACACGAAGACGGGCCTGGCGCTTGTCTAAGGCTTTGGCTGCTTCGCGGATTCCACGTGCTAGGCCATCGTGGAGGAGGGCGGTCTATAGCACCTCTTGTAAAGCGGTATTAACGTCCATTACACCTCCAGCAGCAATGCCTTTCTTGGCCAAGGTGGTGGGTTACGGGTGGAACTGAATCTTGAAGGCACTACGAGACACAGGCCTCCGCCTCTGCACAACTTGGCGGCGACAGGGGAAAGCCATTTATATATCTTTAAAAATTTTTTGACTGGGTTGTACAATTTGATGGGGGTGGGGGTGAGGGAAATTCAAAGAATTTGTTCAAATTTGTATTCAAATTTTGTAAATAAACTTGTTGTTGTTGTTGTTTGATGCTGTCGAGTTGTAGACTATTCATAGCGAACAGCCTGAGCACTATTTGTACACAGATTTCCGGAGGCAAGCCATTTCGGAAGTGGATGCCGCTCCTGCTTCCAGGTAAATAAACTAGTAGAGAAAAAAACCCCAAAACCCTTTGCCCTACATTATGTTGCATGAAGTAACTCAGTCTCACAAGGATAAATACTGCATAGGCCCATTATTGTAAAACAGAAGGAGAACTGGTAAAATGTGTATGGGGATCCAAGGAGGAAGGGGTAGGAACAGAGTGGGGTGGGTGGGAAAAGGGGTAAACCAGAGGGTCACGTGCACTATTTCTTAAGCCAAAAGAACTGAAGGAAACGTGGCATCCCTGAGCTGTGACACTAAACAATTTTATGGGCAAAATACTAAATGATTTAGGAATCCTAAAAAGAAGAGATAATAGAATTTGTCTCAAACCACATAGTAGGAAACAGAGCAATGATCTGAATCCAGCAATTAGACTGCACAGATTAAGTCTTAATATAACTTCTTTATAAGTAACTATGTGATCCATTCATTACCTGCTCTGTTTTCTTTACATATGTTTATACTTGGGATATAAGATCACTGCTAATATCTCCTGATATCGTCTAACCAGAAGCATCTACAATTTTTCTTAGGGTCTCCAGATTTTAATTACTTTTACTTTCACAAATATAATAAAAATTTCATCATTTATAAACAAAGAAGAAGTGGTTTCCTCAATGAGCAAGAATAGTGAACTTGACTTTGGAACGGATTGTTCCTTTCCCCCAAATCCTTTATTTTATAGATGATTTTGTATTTTGAAGCTCTTGAGTGTCTCTATTCTAAGCATATTTTAGCCCCTATGAGTGGCCAGTAGAACTTTCAGGGTGACATCTAAACTACTGTCAAGCTTAGTTTATTTTATGCCTCTTCTGATGTGCGAAACTGTGCCCTATTCAGGTTCAGGCATGAATATAACTTTTAAGTAACTGAATGAGATAATAGGTTTGAAAATTCTTTACAACATGTTGCTTTTTGTTATATATTGTTGTTGTTGTTGATTGCCATCAAGTTGTGCACGACTCATATCAACCCTGTGTACAAAAGGCCTTTCTATAACTATCATTTCTCCAAGTTCATAGAGTTTCCATACACATGTGGTTTAGGAAGTAGATGCCCTTTCTGCTTCCAATTTGTTATATATTAAAATGAATAAATGATTGTTGTTGATTGCTGTCAAGTTGTGCAGGACTCATAGGAACCCTATGAACAAAAGGCGTGAAGCCTTTCTATAAGTATCGTCGTTTCTCAAAGCCCATAGAGTTTCCAGAGGCATGTTGTTTAGGAAGTGGATGCCACTCCTGCTTCCAAAATAAATGATTAGCAAAATTATTTTTACTAGAACATTCATATCCTCCAGCTCTTTGAGAGTCACTGACACAAATTAAATTGGACCTCTGGGTAATTTAGTCAATAGACGCCTTTGATGATGGAGTATGAACTTTATTGGGCTATATACAAATTGAAAGTATCACAGTTCGAATCCACCAGCTGCTCTGTGGGAGAAAAATGGACAGTCTGCTCCTGTTGAGATTTACAGCCTCAGAAACACAATGGAGATTCGTTTTGAGTAACAGATGACTCACAACATCAGAACTTAATGGCAGTGGGTTTACCATTGTGATATGAATACCACTTACTGGTCACTGTCTATCTAAATAAGAGAAACAGGTCCAGAGGCTAATCTAACCATGACTCAGCTCTCTTTGCTAAATGTCCTAAACATGTTGGTTTCTCTTTCTGGGCATACAGATGTAAGTATTAACAGCTGCTGAGATTACTAGTAGATTGGGAGTATACTCTTGCTCAAGGAAAATTTCTTTTGGGTAACTGCACACATTATGCTGAGTGAAATATCTCAGTCACAAAAGGACAAATACTGCATAGGGCCACTGCTGTAAAATGGGACTGACATACGGGTTGGGGAGGAGGCTGAGAAAGATGGGATAAACTATGTATATTGCATTGAAACAGATGAGAAAGAGAACTGTTTAAAAAGATATATAGGATTAGGTATTATTGTCATGACATGAGTCCAGAATGAAGGCTGCATAGTGATGTGGACTTAGGGGGAGGGATTGTATAAGAATTTTTCTTTTACTTTTAAAAGAGAAGAATGCACTGGAGGGGAGGGGTGGGCAGGGAGAAAAGTGAAACAATGAATGAATGAAAATTAAAAAAAAATCTCTATAAATTTTCATTAAAATTAAGATTAATATAATAATAATAAAAGATGCTCCCTATGTGTGCATGCCTGGTGAGAAGTATAGGGACATGAATAAGCCAAAGGATTGGGTAGCAGGGGGATGAAAGGTCTTTCTCTTTATGCTGGAGTCTAGCCCTGTTCTCTGCCTTGCTCTGGTTGGTGACACAGACTGGGGGAGCACAGGTTGAAGAGAAGGATGAAGCCAGCACTTTCTGTGACCTGAGAGATGTCTTTACAGAAACCAAGTAATGCCCAAACATCCTGCTTGCCTATAGTGCCACAACCAATGGACCACTCTTTAGTTAAAAATTTTGTTGTTGCTTTTGTTGTACACCATGAACCGACTCATAGCTGACCCTCTGGTGGGTTTTCAGAAGCAGTTAATCGCACGGGAGGAGACAGCTCATCCTTCTCCCGCGGAGTGGCTGGTGGCCTAGAACCACGTGCCTTCGGATTGCAGCACAGCTTCTTGCCACTAGACCACCAGAGCTCCTCCGGCTAAGTATTTTAGAGATCTTCAGTAGGAACTGAGCTGCTCTGATTCAAGGCAACAAAAGGGTGATTTGAACTATGATGGTAGTCAGCACGTTTCCTCCATCTGCCTGTAGATACTCTAAGCACTCCACCCACTTGGGAAGACTTGGAGGGTCAGCTGGAGTATAAGGAAGGACGGGTTGGCAGGAAGGGAAGCGAGATCTCTGGGCTTGTACTTCAGCTGTCCCCCCATATTTACATCCCTGCTAGGATGCTTAGGAGAAACACAACAATCTTAACGTGGTTTAATGGAAAGCGTCTCTACCTGAAATCTTTACTCAGTTATGAACTAGTTATCCATCTCTGACGAGTTGCTCATCCTTTCTGTATCTCCAGTTCTTATCAGTCAAATGGCAGGTGTGCGCTGTGGTGTGTGCTATTAAGAGCCTGTGGTTACCAATCTGGCATCACGGGTACCTCCGGTCCTCATCAGGGTGAGTGGCCTTCTGGATGGACAATTGCCAGACCAGTTGGACTAAAATTTTTGTTCCGACACAGACCAGTCACTGGAGTGTGAAGACAGCCTTAGCGATTTTTCTGGAAAGGAGCTTCAACTATCTTTCTGAGGAGAAAATGCAGGGAAGCTAAAGTGAAGCTTAGGAAGAGAGGTCAAGAGGCTTTCAGAGGCAATGGCAGGCTGCCTCCTACAGTAAGCTACTGTCAAAGATCTGAAGGACATAAAACCTGCTTCACTGAGAAATTGCTGACAGATTCAAACAACCTCTTAGCCCTGCAAAGTAAACTGCCACTGTGGAGAGAAGAAGCGAGAAAATAAAAAGGAGCTGACACGCCAGTTACTTGAGGCAGGCACATTAACCTCCGCCAAGGGAGTGGAGCCAGGCGCTCTTTCATGGAGGAAAGTCACTCCAGCTTCAACATCCAGCAAAAGAAATAACAGTGCTGAGTGCAGCCTCCAGTTCAAGCTGAACACGGTTTCAGAATCAAAGCACTTCACTCCCTTTTTTTGTTTAGGGAGAAAGTTAGAACTTGTTGCTAACAAAAAGCCACATCAGACACACACAAAAAACACTGAACAACAACAACAAAAAAAACACACCTAAAAGCAAGATAAAAATCAACCCCAAACCAAGCAAACAACATAACTAAACAACAACAAAACCCTGTTAACCCTCAAACATCAAGATCCCAGTTGTGCTTTATTTAGATGGCCAATACCTATGTGGACAATTATCAATCAGACATATTCACCAAAACAGTAAAGTAGATACAACAAGCCCCCTCAGGATATTCTGAGTATTTAATTTCAAAGAGAGGAGGGAATGAAAAGGAAAGTAATTTTAAAGTTAATAATTTAAAATTATTAAGAACCAAGGAGGGTTCTAGCTTAATTGCACATAAGGGTGAAACAAAGAAACAAAGAAACAAACAAACATAAAGGACAGAAAATAATTTTACCTACCTCTCTTCCCTGTGGGAATCCAAGAATTTGGAAGCATTGTGAAAGGGAAAATGCCAAAGTGTTACAAAGTATTCTAAAGTGAAGTCATTAGGGTTACTAAGTATTTTGGTATCAACTGAAGTGATTTTTTTATGTTTGACAATTTCAGGTTAACAATGTCAACTGTATTTTGTGAACTAGAAAGCAAATAGTGTTTACATTCTTATTGTTCTGGGGGGAACATGAGATTTTAAAGAACATCTCAGTGACTGTGTGGTCGTCACTGTTGCTACTTGCTGGGTTGATTTTGACCCACAGCGATTGCAAGTGGGCAAAGTAGAACTGCTCCTTGGGGTTTTCAAGGGTGTGACATTCTGAGAAGCAGATTACCAGGTTTTTTTTCCAAGATGTCCATAGGTGAATATGAACTGCCAACGTTTTGGTGAATTGTCAAGCACATAACCATTTGTACCTCTCTCCCTCAAGGATCCTTGAGTGGCGTGCGTGTATGGTTGTGTAGAGTGAGAAGCGATCTACGGCTGAGCCTCCAGCAGGTTTTCAGAGACAGTTAATCAAATGGGAGGTGACTGCCCATCCTTCTCCTGCAGAGCATCTGGTGGCCTCACACGGCATGCCTTTGGAAATGCAGCGCAGCTTCTTGCCACTAGGCCACCAGACTTCCCTCAGGGGTGTGTATATCACTTAATAATGACACCGAAAAAGAGAGAACTAAAAGAGTTATTATTTCCTTTGTGCAGGAAAATGAAATGCTAGTTTTACAGAAGCTTTAGGAATACTGAGTGTACCTGTTCAGCTGACATACAAACTGTACTTGGCTATTTTTTTATTCTTTTAATTGGTTTTTATGAAAATTTAAAAAATTCATCCAGTAATAATGGCTTTTAACAAAAGACAAAGATAAACTCTACCTATATTTTTCACAAAATCATTTTCATTGTAACATAACTATAGTAATATGGCTCAGAAAGGAAAAAAGAAACCACCCCACCATCAAACCTCCTGGGAATTCATTTCAAATCATTGAAGCAGCTGTTTCTTCAGTTTAAAATAAAATATCTATAACAAGTTCACACATGGCAGATGCAAGCTAAGAACTAGCTTCCACAGTGTGAGTTAAAAGCAGATGTTTTGAATGATCATATTTATAACCAGATACAATAAATCTTAGTTACGTATAGTAAGGTTTTAGAAATACTCTCCTCCAAGAATTTGTTTAAAATGCAGTCCCTGCAGTTTCTTGTATTTTTGAGAATGAGGTTTTATTAAATGTAACTCTTCTATAAATTCATATGAACCTAGTTTCTTTTGTTTTCTTATTCTTGCTCATTTCATAAGCTTCCGCAGGACTGACAAGTTGTCAGGGCTCTGGAATTTATCACCTTTATTTAATTCGACATATTTCTCCAGTCCAATTCAGAGCCCTGGAATTCTTTTGTTTTAGTAAGTAAACTTATGATTATCAGAAAGAGAGAGCCTATTAAGTCGTAGAATAAGTCATTTGCCTGAAAAACTTGTCTACCTCATTAATAAATGTTAACATATGATCGTCCTTTAAAACATTATAAACGTTATAAGGTTAGAATGTAAAGAAACAAAACTGCTGGTAAGAATGCAAGGCTGGATCATATATACCATTATGCATACCTTCTATCCAATGCTGCTGTCACCACATGTTATCACTAGGTTTCCTTTTTCATGTTAATTAACTTACATTTTTATCTAGTGAAATCATAGGACAGATGACAGTAAGGGCTTTGGCATTAAAAGGTGAGCTTTGTGGAACAGCCTTGGTTCTTACTAGCTCTGCATCCTTGGGCAAAACTTCTATGCCCCACATAACATGACTGTGCTCAGGAATGAGTGTGACATTATATACTATCTGATAAAATCTAATTTTGTCAAACCTTATATAAGGTTCTCTGTCAGAGAAAGAAAACTTTAAAAAAAGTGAGAGGAGCAAGAATTCTGTCAAAAGCAGAAACCTTGTGAGATGCAGAAAAACAAGGCAGCCCTTCGAGTCCCAACTCTCAGAGGTTTCACTGTAATTGCACTGGAAACAGCTAGGAGTTACACTTCCAGAAATTTCTCAGCCAGTCTGTTTCCTGCAGGTGAATGATTGACCAGGTCAAAGGCTCTATTCAGTTCACTTCCTCAGTGCTGCCCTGCACCAGGGTAGAGGGTCACCCGTGGCTGTAACCCCCAGTGAAAATGAGTCATCACCTCGGAATGATGCTCTTCATTCTGCTGCAACACTTCTATACACAGCTCGGCCAGGTGGAGGACTTCTTCCAGCTTCCTAGCAGGACTGGCTTGGTTCATGGTCTCTGTATTAAAAACAACACCACCACAATAGTGTTACCTTGAAAAGAAAAAGCCAAACCTATTCTAAGACTGAGTGAGGAGACCGGGATGTTGAAAGAGCATGAGAAAGCACAGTTTGGAGAGTAAGAGATGTAAGAAATACAAATGAATCCATTATGGAAAAGAAAGCAAAAAAACAAAACACCAAACCAAAAAACCAACTCCAGCTCATGAGACTGTGGCAAACATTTCACCCACAAAGCAACTGTGGGGAACTTTGCAAGTGCTTTGCCATTTCACATACAAGAGCTAACAGGTGCAGCCGCACATTAGCTGCTCAACTTCTGCAACAAACAAGTTATAATTCTGCTCAAGGTCAGGTGCACAAAGAGAGCAGATACCATAGTCTTTTCTTTCTCCCATATTATATTAGCTGTACAATGGGTCATTTCTAGTATTAACAAAACACAGGGGATTTTTTTTTTTGCTGTTGCTGTTGTTGTAGTGTTGGTTGCTAGTTAAATTTCCAAGCTAAGATGTCCATAGTTCATGCTGATCTTAGATTCATAAAGTAGAAAGCCACCTAAAACAACTGGCAGCCTGCAATTAACTCATTTTCTCTCTTCCTTCCCTGCCCAACTTTTCTCCACCCCAGAGTTCTCTGAAGCTGAAGGTCCTTTCAGTATTAAGTCAAAGGGGTATTAGAAAGGGCTATGCCACAGAGGGTGCAGCTACCTGGAATTCAGCAACAGAAAGCAAGGAATAACTCTCAGGCACCACAAACCGGCAGAAATCACAGATGCTCCCCATAACCACAAAGTTTCAAAGTGAAGCATCACCTGGAGACACTGTTAACAGCGAGGTTTGGATTCCTTCTACTGGGGTGGAAAGCCAGCTTTTCAGCTAGGCGGTAACACTGGAATGAACCTGTCCCAAACCCTAATTTCAAAAGTGTAAAGAATATAGTTTCTTAACAAGACATTAAAAACAAGACCTTGCCTTCAATTCATGGGGCCCGTCTTTCCCCTCCTATAAAAAGTCTCACTATAAGGTAGAAAATGGCAACCTCCAGAAACGCGCCACCTCTGGAGGAACTCAAGGAATCATCTGGTTTTTTCCTATCTGCAACAGATCTTTTCTATCAACTTCTTGTTTTTGGTATGTGCCGTCAAGTTGCCTGTGATTCATGGCCACCCTACGTACAATAGCTTAGAACTCTGCCCTATTCTGAGCCAGGCTCACTGTCTCTGACACCCTCTCATTACTACAGCTCCTGTGTCAATTCATCTCCTCCAAGGGTGTGTCTGTGTCTATCTCTCTCTTGCATGTGCTGTCCCTCCAGACTTCCAAGCATGATGTCCTCTCCAACGACTGGTCCCTCCTAGTAATATGCCTAAAGTACTTGATATGGAGCTCCAAAATCCTTGCCTCCAATGAGTAACTTAGTTTCACTCTCTCCGGGACAGACTTGTTCTCTTGGCAGTCTATGGAATGTTCAGTATTTTTCTCCAACACCACAATTCAAAGGCATCAGTTCTTTTATCATCTATAGTCATTGTTCAGCTCTCTGATGCAAAGCAAGTAATTACAAAGACCATGGCCTGGATTAGGCACATTTTAGTTTCTAGACTCACCTTGTTGCTATTCAGTACTCTGGAGACATCTCTGACAGTAAATTTTCCTAATGCAATTCATCTTTTCATTTCCTGACTGCTGGTGCCAACAGTGCTGACTGTAGAACTGAGAAAGCTCTGTTACTTCTAAAATATCACACTAAAATTGGGAGAAGGCTCCTCTATTTGCCTTATTCTACTCTGTTCCCACTTCCACCTCTCAGTTTGTTGTCCTGTTGAGGCCTCTGTGTTGCTCGGATGCTGACAACGAGGCTACTGATCTTTCAAATATCATTAGGTCTGTGCATCGTGGACAGGTTATAGTGGAGCTTCAAGACTAATAGGCTAGAAAGAAAGATCTGACAAGATACTGCAAAATATAATCTAAAACCTCCTGAGTCACAGCAAGATATGATGGAGGGTTAGAAGAAGAGCTATTCCTAGATTAATTGTCATTGTTGTAGGGGGCCATCAACTCATTGTGACCCTATGAACAGATCTGAACCCTGTTCTTTCCTGTGCCATCTTCACAATCTCTGACACACTTGAGCTCATTGCTATAGTTACTCTGTTAATCCACCTGATTAAGGGTCTTTAACATCCTGGTGGACAGAGAAAAGACTAAAATTGTCTATGACTTCATCTTCCTTGGATCCATGATAAATACTCTTGGTACTAGCAGTAAAGAGATCAGGAGACACACGGTACTTGAAAAGGTCTGCAGTCAGGGACTTCTCCAAATTATTGGGGAACAATATGTTAGTTTGAGGACTAAGATGCATTTGATTTAGTCCATGGTCTTTTCAATCACTTGTTGTGCTGCTGAAAGCTGGACAATGAATAAGGATGACAGAAGAAATGATGCCTTTGACCTGCGGTGTTGGAGGAAAAAAATGAATATTCCAAAGACTGCTGAAAGAACAGGTATGTCTTGAAGACGGTGCAGCCATAGTGCCCCTTGAAGACAAAGATGATACAATTCCATCTCATATACTTTGGGTATGTTTCTAGGAGAGGCTACTCACTGCTCGGGAAGGTGGAGGGACAGCGAAAGAGGGGAAGACCTCTACGTTAGAGGACACCCAAATAAACAATGACTACAATGGTAAATTCCAGCGTCCCATTTACTGTGAATAAGGCATAGGATGGGGAAACATTCCGTTCTATTACACATGGTGTCATGAGCAATTAGCGAATAACTAACAACAAATTTGCTCCCCACCGACATAAAATGATGCAGCAGAACATACTACTTATGGTTGGCAATAGTTCACCCACCCTTTGTTAAAGACTCACTGAAGTTCTGTCTCACATACTCTGGGCATGCTATCCAGAGAAGCCAGTCCTTTGAGAAACATTATCATGTTTCTAAAAGAAGAAGGTCAACATAGGAGAGGAAGATAGTCAAAGAGACGGACTGCCATGGCAACTGCAACAATGGGTTGGAGCATGGCAGAGACCAGGAGAATGGTGCACGATCAGGAAGGGTTTGCTTAGAAGCAGTTTGATACGTGGGGGCTAGGGTGTACTATAACCAGCGTCCAAGACACATGCACATATTACTAAATTCTTCTGCATACGGAGAGCTGTCACTCTCTGTGACAAGCATCAAAGAGTACAATAAGCCTTTAGATTGATCTGTCAGTCAAACAGCACAGAACTAAATGTGCCTGCAAGATACTCAGCTAGGGTGAAGTAAAGAGAAACATAAGGTATGTTGCTGATCTCAAACAACTCAGAAGGGACCCTTCGACATCAACTTTTGGGTCTTCCATCTTTTCCTTAAAGTCCTTTAACCTCCTTATACACAAGGAGGTCACTGCTGCCCAGGATGTCACATTGCAGCCTGTTCCAACTGAAGGCAGTAAGAGAGTCAGCCAGGCAGACAAGATCCTTGCACAGGCTCAGAAACATGTGAAGCACACCTACCAGTGAAGTGGGAGGTCTGAAGGGAGACTGCTGAAAGCAGGTGGGTTCAGTGGATAAACCAGGGAAGGCGATCCTTGAGCATGGTTCTAAACCCACAGTAAATGACCCAGGGAAAAAGGAGAGGAGTTTCTGGGAGGTGGGGTGGGAGAAAGAGCTGTCCTAGGGAGGCAGGGTGCATTTTCAGAAGGATGTGATGACCAGATGACCACGATGTTTACAAATATTACCATTTATGGAACATCAACATTGACAGTAACAATAGGCTTCAGCAAGGTGGAGGGAGACGGTGGGGGTGACAAGACAGAACAAGGCTCTGATCCGCTGTTTACGGAGTTATGCAAGTCATGGTCCTCTTGATGGCACCTAACAACAACAATGGTGTGTCAGGCATAAGAATGGGCTCTTTTCATTATTATTGTACTAATTTTTCTAGTGGCTTTTAGTTTCTTATTGATATAATTCACAGATAAAAATAAATGAAATGCAGTCATGAATAAGAGGTGTGGGAAGCTCTCGTGGCCCTAGTGGATAAAGAATTGTGCTACCAACTCAAAGACAAGAGGTTCAAATCCACTAGCTGTTCCAAGGGAGAAAAATGGGCCATCTCCTCCTGGAGGATTTGCAGTGTCTAAAAACTTGCTGCAAGGTGAGCTATGCGTTGATTTGGACTTGACAGCATATAACAACAACATGTATTTCTATCTCAATAGCTGAAAGTTTGAGGAGTTTAAGAAGTTACCACATCCTTAGCCAATAGAATGTAATAAAAAGAAATAATTACAAAAATATCCCCACAACTTATATGTGTGTTTTTTTTTTAATGTGAATGTGTTAGTTAAAGAGCAGCTTCAATATCTGACATAAAATTGAGAGTGCCCTTTGGCCCAAAGAAACTTTAAAACCATCTAAAACCTTTTATTTTTCCTAGAGTAAATTTTCTAAGAGGATTGAAAACTTTGTACTTGAATATAATGACCACTCAAATACTTTAAATAAACAGCATTTTTATCAAGTACCCTAAGCTATGTCATCCCTGGTAGTCACCCATTTGGCTGCAGCCAAGAAGTTTAACACATCTTAGTTAAGAGTCAATTTAATAAACAAGGTGATCAATAGCTCCATTAGAAACCAGAGCACTTGTGAATGTTTGAGAATCTTTTCTCTTTTTTTTCTGATACTACATTTCCACAGCATTACAGATGTCTCTACATTCTTCAGACTTCACACCAAGTTGCTGATTGTTGTGATACATTTCGAATAGTGCCATTTTAAACACACACGCCAAAAGAAGCCAGGTTTCTCGGTGCATTTCAATGTGTCACTTTTGGCTAGCATCCTGCTTAACTTTAGAACAGTTTTACTTTTCTATGATAACGTTCCTTGCTTGCCTAAAGCAATTCCTTGAAACTGTATCTCCACATTTATGACATGGTCGATCCCACAGAGTTCAAGGCAGAATAGTGAAAAGATCTAAGGAAGAC